GAAACGTCTGTTCTGGTTTCAGACCCACCTCCTGTGGGTCTGAGGTCAACTCCACTTGGGAGGAATCTGCAGATTTACCAGTTTCGTCTTCATCAACCCTCTGGTGAAATGAAGTGATAGTAGATTTGATTAAAGAAAACAGTCAGAAATGATCCTGTCATGCTGCCTTTGCTCAGCTCAATCCTGTCCATATTCTCTTCACCTGGACACCTGAGGCTTTCTTCTCTCTGTCTCCTGTCCCTCATGGGGCCTGTTAAGTTTACGTAATCATTAGCTCACATAGCTTCAAGTTTTCTTAATCTGTCCACCTTTCCATTCCCTTTATCCTGCATCTCTTGCATCCTAAAGCTGAATACAAGGGAACCTGAATCCTCATGATGGGAACATAATGAAATCATCAGCAAGTAGTCTGTACTTCAGCAGCATCACCTTCTCTGTGTCAAGGAAACGAGGGCTTTGTTTGTCATGTAGCTCTTCTGTGTTGTCTGTTTTTAAATCGTCAGCGCCTTGGCTGTCAAGTGTTGAGTGTGATTCAGTTTGCTCGGGGTCAGTAGTTTCAGGATGATCAACCACCTGCAGAGCAGTTGTGAGATAAAACAATATGTAATATAACTATGTTAACACAGTTTCCTTTTTATTTTTAACAATTTAATGTTAAATCTTTAAATCCCCTGAGTAAATTGTTACATTTACATTAGATTACAATATTTTGGGCCTCACTAAATGCCACCTTATCCTCCTTTTGGTCAACTTCTTTTTCCTCTACTTGAGCGGTGCTTGCTTCCTCCTCGGTTTTCTCATCTACATGATTGGCACTTGGCTCCACCTCTGTTGTCTCTTCTGTTTGATCGTTCACCAGCTCTGCTTCAGTTTTATCCACAGGTATTTCTGTAGACTCCTCTTTGACCTTAGTGTTCAGACCCTCAGAGGGAGAAGAGCTAGCCTCCTCCACTGGGTTTCTGTCAGGGGACTCTTGACTGGTTATAGTATTTGTAATCTTCACCTATAGCAAACACACCACCTCTTTAAACCATTGAAGTCAGTCATTTAATGGCTAATTTCACAGCACCAAAGGTTAGTCATGCACAAGATGTATCAGAATTAACGTAGCACCCTGCCCCACCACCAAACACACCTCATCTAAGGTACTAAATCAAACCCAAAGATCACAGAAGATGCCAAATGTAAAAGGAAATTGAAAATGATCAAGAAGGCACCACCACCACCAGAAGCACACAGATTTGAGATCTATGTTTTATCACCTCCGGTTCAGTGTCATTTTCCTGAGCTTCAGTTGGGTGTTCATCTGTGTCCTGCTGGTTTTCAGGATCAAGGGTTTGTGGTTTCTCTTCTGTCACAGGTTTGTTGTCTTCAGCATCTCCTGTTGTGGCTAGCGTGGGTGTATTAGATCTTGTAGGTTCCTCCTCAGACTGCTGTTGGTATTAATATGCTCATGTAGGATTTTGCTCAAAATGTGTAGTGTTTAGAAATGTACTCCACAATACATGCACATCTATGTAGGGTACATTACAGTGATGAACCATCCTCTCCTTTGATTTGTTGTGGCTCCAAGGTCATAATCTTTGCTTAAATTAACTTCTCAAAACAGGGAAAATAGGAACATTCAGCTTCTAAAGACTACTTTTAAAAAAACACATCTGACAACGACTAAACAAGGAAGAAGGAGGCAGCACAGACTTGAGCCATCAAGAAATTAAAACAAAAGTGATATCAGTCTCTTCAGCAGAACAGCATAACAGGGCTGGAAGGAAGGCTTAGTTACATTAAACTCTTTATTCGTATTTTCTGAACATACCTTTTTAGATTCCTCCAAGGCCTCATTGATCTTATGCTGCTCCTCCCTCAGCTTCTCCTGGTACAGTGCCTCCTCTCTGGCCTTTGCCTGCTCCTGCTCCAGGAGTGCCAACTTAGTCTTTTTCTGGAATAAAAATTAAACTATTACAACACTTTGACTGCACTGCAACTGCTTTTTAACCAGCAGTAAAACTCTAAAAAAAATGTTGCGTTGGGACAATAGCAACTATTTAGATTTTAGAAAGTGGTACCAGTTAATTATTGTTTTATTTATTTATTTTATTTATCTTCTTTTACTATGACTTATACTGTAACGACAATAGTACTACACTGTAAAGACACTGTGTTATGTAATGCTTCCCCTAGTGATAATCAAACCAAACAGCAGCTCACCTCTGTCTCATATTTAACATTGTCGTTGTACTTGTAAAGCCAGTGGGCCAGATACAGGATGGGGTCTACCGGGCGCTGCTCAGCCACTTCAGCTAGTCCTTCTGCCAAACATTTTCCCAGATGTCTTTTTAAAAACTCAGAGTCCATGGTTTTTCTGCACAAATAGGCTTAGGTCAACCTAATAGGCTTAAGTCAACTTTGTGAATTGTAAACCTATGACACTGCAAAAGAGACAGATTTAAGTTAATGTTCTCCGGTCGTCACATCAGAAAGACAGCGTCAGTTAACCGGGACTTCCACGGAAAGTTTTAGTTGCTGCTTGACCTTCAAGTTTAGCTACACAGCAACTACTTCGATTTTTCTGTCTTATTCCGATGGTAAGGTAAATGCAAAAGCGTATTCACAGATTTAACAACAAGACACCCGTAAAAACATCTCCAAAACAAACCTTTTCACTGGGCGCCCGGATATAGTCGTGTGTCTCCACGGCAACGGTGTCACCACATTAATGCTCCCCTTAAACAATTTAAACTCGTACCCGGCGCTGTCCGCTATGGTCGCTACTATTAGAGCCACTACTAGGCCACTACTGCCAAGGATTATAATAATAACAACAACGCTATTAATAATAACGTAATCGTGCTGATTAATTAGACTAGTTTATGACTGAAATGTATTAATGCAACACTAGTAAACTATAATGTCATAGCAGCAGACGTAGGATAGATCGAGTCTACGTCCAGATTATAATACTGTGTCCACACATTTTTCAAGACTTGTAAATTTGCTTTCAATTAAAAGATAAATTGCTAGTCATCACGGTGCCCTCTGGTGGCCGAGGCACAAAGAGACCTCATAACTGGACCAATTCCTTAAATGTTTCATTACCAGCAGTATTAGTCTTTTAGGATGTGTCCTTTCTATTTTTTTGTGTTAAAAAAAACTCTGTTGCAATTGGAATTGTATTTTTTGTGTCCTGGCAGAAAGCAAGTGTAATTTTCAACCTAATATCCGTTCACTTCTCTGAAGAAAATCCATATGGAAACTACTATCCCCAGTTGTCAAAATGTTAAAACCAGCTGCAGAAGGCACGAACAAACTCCTTCAACACTACTGCACATTCAGAAATGCACACATTTCAAAGTAACCTACAACAGGAAACGAATATGGATTTGAGTTTCTATCTGTCTCTGTATGGGTTAGGAAAGTTTAACCCTTTCAAATAATGATAGACTACATGATAGGCTTTATAAACTGAATAATTAAATTCATAAACAGCTCAGGGTGAGAGGAAGCTGTGCTCAGATCCACGGGAGCTGATGCAGGCCGTCTCATCTGCGCCGCAGCCGCACTTCAGGTCGAACCCCGGCTTTAGTAATGACAAACTTGTAAAAGCGTGCAACGCCTGGAGCGACCAGCTGTGTGGGAACGGGAAGTGGCTCCGCTGCTGAAGTGTCAGAGGTCTGATCCTACCTGGAGCTACTGCTCCAGTTTCACTGCAGGACTCCACACTGCGTCAGCAACAGCTGTCCTGCAGCCCCGAGCTGGCTGCCAGACAGGGAGAATTACGTCCTCGGTGTGAGGCTTAACGGAGGACCCAGTTAGCCAATTTTTCACTTTTCTTGGATTCTGTGGAAATATTTGTTTTATCGTGCAAGGTAACCCAGCACCAGCCTTCTGTTGTCTTCCATGAGTTGTTGAGCCTAAAGATGACTCCTGCCTCGGGTTAGAGAAAGTTGCTGTCAGGCTGCAGACTGAAGAGTTTCACTCGGTTCAGAAAGACTGAGGAGTTTTTTTTTTTTTTACATTTATTTTTATGGTCACCTTTTCGGAATTAAATTGGCTGATTTGATATCTTTCTGGTGCGAACATGGTTATAGTTAGGTTTTGTTTAATTGTTTAATTTAACCTCATTTGTACTCTGGTGAAACAAACAGTAACGGTAAACTATGTAGCTTATTTGATAAAGAGGAGGTTTCATTTCTATACAGTTGTAAACTGTATATGACACAAAGTATTTTTCCTGACACTCCGGATAATTAGTTGCTCTGGCAAAGAAATCAAGTCAAAGGACGTGTTTTAATATCAGCGCTTTGTTCTAATAATAAACATGGACCTGTAATTGAGCTTAGGTCAAATCTGGTTTGGTAGATTTATGGCGCCTCACAAATGTTTATGTGTGTATGA